TATATGAAATCTACACAAATAAAGCTTGGGCTTTGACAGTTCCCGAAGAGCACAATTAAACAGATGCTCGTATTAGAACAATTCTGTTATATCAGCCAGGTTCAGGTTTGTGACCGCAATAATAGTACCGGAGCAGCATAAATTCGTTTCAAAGGAAGTATGCGCGAATGCTTAGCTACTACTCGTAGCTTGTTTCCCAAACGGAAAGTTAGACACGTTTTTTACAGTACCCCACTTAACCAGTACTTGAAGTTACAATTTTTTGTGCATTTTATAGAACTTGTCGACGTAATCGTTAAGACTATAATAGAGCTAGGTCGTTGTAACGGTTTTTTGATAACTATATCAGAAATTTCGCCTTGACAGTTGCAATACACTGATTTTACTTTGTTGCGACTTTTAATGTCCAGATATGTCGAAAAGTGAGATATTTACAGTGGTAAGATTCGCTGAAGTGTTACTTATCAGAGGCTGTTATTGGGAGACAAAGACGTTGATGTATATTCACGGTGGTTTTACACGTCAGTGTTCTGTTGGTGTTTCTTTATTTAAAGATATATGAATCTTTCAGGGTAGGAGATGACGGCACTTTTCTTCGCTGTGCTGGTACTGTTACATTTGGTTCAGAGTTTGGATGCAGCTACACCGTTTTTAAATACTTATTTAGATGAACAAAGCAGGAATTCTATGCAGAAAGTTTTCGAAAAAGCCTTAACCAGCAAGGTTGAGTTAGTTTTCGTCTGATTATGGCAAATCTCAAAAACAGTTTTTTTATTTATCAAAGCACTTATACCTATGGAATCGGTCTCTTTCTTCTTAAGAAGTTTTGGCAAAGGTATTTTGGTTTAGGATATAACTTCGACTTACCATGGAGTTGCAGGATTACGTTTACTGGGTGTTACGGTAGATGGTGCAAAATTAAAGGTTTTTTTGGAAAATAAATTTTTTTGGTTTTTGTCTCTTTTATTTTTTCATTAAGTCTGTCAGGAATTCCACCTTTAGATGGTGTATCCTTATCTACTGGTTCTCTGAACCACGATTCGTTGCAGACCGTTTGCGATATTGCAAACAGTGCGGAAACACAGGACATTTCTTCACTTTATGCAAAGTCGAGCATTATCGCCATATCGAAAGCTCCTGAATGCAAAATCATTGCTGTTAAAGGGGCGAAAGAAATCATTGAGGGAACCGCAAAGGCTCAAAAGCCTGTAGCACAGGATTTATACTATGCTCTCGCTGCCGCTGCTAATATGGGTATAAAAGTTTCAGAAAATGATTTTGTGGCTGCGCTCACTACTGCAATGAAGGAGGGATCTGCATCTAGGTTCTTTTACGTTTTTTTGCTTGTTAAGCTGTTAAAACTTATTTTTATTGCAGCTTTTATTTTGTTTCATTGGCAGGAATGTAACTTTTTTTTTAGCTATGATGCCTGATTTTTGATTGTAGTACGGTTTACACACTGTGGAGTTAGTGTTAGTTTGAAAAAGTCAGAATTTAACTTCTCTTTTAAGACATTATGGTAAAAAATGTGTAAAAATAGAAACTTTATACACTGTGCATTACAAGTGCCTTCAATAAGATCTGTGATCATGTTTTTGCTTTTTGCAGTTGCGTTATTGGCAAGAAGTTTAAATGCTCTTTGTTGTTTTCTTTGTATCTCTCAAATCTTAGTTTTTATCAAACGTCAATTTTTTCTCTTTTTTTTCCTACTTATTGCAGCTCACTGTCATTTTATTACAGTTTGGCGTACGGACTGAACGCCGCTTCATTACTAGAGAAGTCTAAAGCCGACAAATTTCTCGTTAGAGTTGAGGACTTGATAGGTCAAGCTGATGAAGTCGACGGCAAATACTTGCAGGTTTTTTTTTTGATGGTATTTTTTTTCAGCCATAATTGGTTCCCCTTCAAGGTTAGGAAAAAATGACATTTTTTAGCATTATTTCATGTTTAACGTTTTATAATATTTAGCTTGAAGGGGGAATTTCAATAACAGCTCTTGGTATTCATGGTATATATGCACTTGCCGATAAAGTCAATAAATCGCCGAATGTGAAAAGTGTGGGTTTTTTTCCTATTTATTGAGAGACAATGTGTTTTTAACAGAATTCTCAAAAAACAAAATCTTGAGAAGTCCAGAGGTATTTTTTTTAGGATGAGGCAGTAAAGCTGGCTAGTTATTTGCTCAGCAGAAAAGGCGTTCAAAGGGATCGAGCAGCTTTTCTCCTTCTTGAGGCCCTGAATAAATTTGCCGAAAACAATTTCCAAATTCCTGTCTCCTTCTCATTGGCCAGTAATATGGCAATGTCTGACACACAGAAGGTTACTTAATTTCAGTATTTTGTAGGTGTTTGAGGTGCTGCCTGTCAGCTTTTCTCACCCGTTTCTCTGGTGGGGGATCAAAGTTTATTTTCTTTGGAAGGAAGTTATAAAACTTCAGTGGATAAAGGATAAGTGTTGGTAGTAAAGGGATGTTTGAAGTGCGAGGTTAGCTAGGTGTGGTCTATTAAGTGGGCTTTTGGATATAATGGGGAGGAAGTTAATATTGCAAAATAGTAATTTTGAATTTGTGATGTTAATTTTGAGCATTAAGAGCATTATTTAAACTTTTTGCTTTCTTCTTACTGGAGCGCTATTTACGTATTGTTTATGCCAGAATGTCAAGATTCGCGTATGCAATGTTTTGGGCAAAAGTGTTGGCCTTTTATCAGTAAGCGTAGACGCAATAACTCATACAGCGTCAAAGGAGATTGTTTCTACTCGCAAACAGCTTACTCGTGTAGCTGATGATAAATCTAATACATTATACGAACTAACACTCAGTGGAACAAAATCTCGAGGATTTTATTTGCTTTCTTTGACTGCTGGTAGCCAGGTTAGCGTGAATTTTTCGTCTTGCTTTGTGTATCTTAATCTTTAAAACCTTTTTTGACTACTAATTTGTGTCGTTACCTCTATTTTTCTCTGTTTCTCTCTGCCCAGCTGCTTCGAGACTTAGAGTTTCTTGGGGTGTTTTTCCAAATCCCACGTCGGATTGCAGGATAAAAGGCTGATTGGAACCAATGGCGCAACAGTTCTTATCAAGCTTTTGGCTAAAGTTCGTATCGAGAAGGCTACAGTTGCTGTTGGCGATCGTGAACTTCCAAAGCTTACTAATGTCAATTCGTTAGTTTTGATGCGTAATTAATATATCCAGGTCGTTTTTGGCAGCCACTAGTAAAATCTTCTTTATAAAAGTTATTTTAATTTAAAGTGGTTGTGCGTTTTTGGCTTTAGTTTCTGGTTTTTATATTTTTAATTTTTTTTCAAGAGTTAAAGAAGGTGCGAAATTGGGTAAAGTGCTTGAAGCAGATACACACAGCAAAATGGAAATTAAATTTGTGGTTCGAGAAGCTGAAACTGGCGAAACTGTAACGGTACATCAAGCGTTTGTGGCCTTTGTTCATACCAAGACCAACCAAGAGATTATATTTGTGGCAACACCGAATTCTGCGCGCACTTACACCTTTGATTTGGTAAATATTTTAGGAATATTTTTTAAGGTAATACTGTTGTGAAATATTCTTTTTTCATCTGAAGTACATTAGGATTTTGCTGACAAGATAGTGAAAGACTTCAGTGGTGTCTCTGGAACGTACGCTGTTCATTTAATTATTGGTGATCCTGCCATCTCTCACGCTATTGATTGGAACTTGGTAAGTTTTGCTCCTCATAGTTTTTCAAAAACTGTCACTTCCAATAGTCTTTTAAGTTTTGCCTGTAGGTGAATGTCAAGTTGGACCTACCTCCAATGCCAACTCGTAAAGTGAAAAAATCTGAAGAGATAATATATGATAAGCTACCTGAAATAAAGCACAAGTTCCGCGAACCAGAAAAACGTCCTCCTAGTTTGGTGTCTGATACCTTCACCGTAATTTGTTGTGTTCCCTTGCTTATTCTTTTGGGCATGGTAAACTATTTGATTTTTTAACAGTTCTGTTTGCTTAGGAATTTTCTGTTGCTTTTGGAAAGTATAGTGGGTAAAAGTCACACATTCTCTTGCTATATAGTTGGTTGCTGAGTATTGGAAGAGAGCTTTCAAATTTTATTCGTCTCCACGTATACGTCTTAGCTGGTTATTTTTTTTCAGTGGTTTGCTATCGGTATCAATTTCGGTGAAATGCCAGTCTCCTTGTGGACTTTGCTATTCCATATTAGTTTGGGAGGTTTCTGTATAATGTGTTTTATATTGTTAACAATTTACATGTTATGATGGGTTGTTTTTTGAAACAATAACCTTTTGAGAAATCAGCTGTTCAATTTTTTGTGATTGGTAATTCACTTTTTATTCAAAATATGAAGTCAATTTATTGTTTTTTTCAGGTGTTTTTGGACTATATGTGACGTTTTGGTTGAAACTTAATATGTTTGATACTTTGAAATATCTTTCCCTTATCGGTGCGGTTTTATTTATATCAGGAAATCGTCTTCTCAGGATGATTGCTTCGTCAAAAAAGTAGGACAAGTAAAAAAATTGTTTTTTTGATTTTTTATTATGAATTTGGCTTCTGCTCTCTCTTTTTAGAACAAAGAAGGAATAAACTGGACTTCCTCTAACTGATATTCATTACGTTTCTTTGCGGAACCTCCATGGTCGGTTTCTTATGTGATATGATAAATTTCTGTTATTACTCAGAAGTGATGTTAGGTGTGAGTGCCTTTTGAACGCCCAGTAATTGATTTTCTTTAATTTTATTCAGTGGTGGTATTTGTTCTTTATAAGTTTGTTTTAACTTATTGTTGTTGTTATTTTGTGTTCATTAAATCTTAAATTTGTTGAAGTAGAGCTCCTATTAAATCAGTTAATTGCTTACTAGGTTGCTGTCGGAATCGCTCTGCGATACAGTCATTTTCTGTTGAATTCGGTGTGGTCACAGTAGTGTTTCTCTTTTTACCATTTGTAAGGTTGTTTTTTCATTAAGTGTAAGCAGCAATCTAAAAAATTGTTTATCTATTAGGAATTCTATTTTTAATGTTAGGGGTATTTAATTCCTGTTCTTTCTTGTTTTGTTTTATTTATTTATTTATTTGTTGGTTACTGTTTTTTTTTTCCCATTTCTGATCTTCTCCTTCCTTTATGTTGTCAAAATTTGAACTAACAGTTGATCATCAGCTGTACTGGTTTCACCAAAATAGGTATTTCAAGAATTAAATAAATAATCGTGAATTTTGGTGGGATTCACTTGAGGAATTGTACCGCCTTTTTTACAAGATTTTGATCTGTTGGTCTAGTGTGTAAAACCTTTCTTGAATTACAATTGAGGAGTTTGATGGACTAGTTTTGGTGAATTAAGGAGCTTGAGATGGAGGTTTTGGTTTGACAAATTAGTAAAGTGGTGGTTTGAAGATGTCCTTTTTTTCGATTGATATATTTGAGTACAGGCTTGGTATGAGGCTGCTTGCTGTCGTATGCCGGTGTAGGTTTTCTTGGTTTTTAACTTCGAGCCGATTGAAGCAGTCTGTAACAAACAATCTTTGCTACTGGATGAATATGGAAGTCGGTTCCTCAGTGATTAAGAAGAAGGTGCTTATTGGGGATGGGTTTGAACTGAAATATGAGGATTTGGGAGTTGTTGTTGGCAAATATGTTGCTTTCTTGCGGAACTTTCTCTCAATTAAGGTTTGTCATTTTGTCTTAGTCAATCTGACCTTCTAAGCTGGAAATTACACTGTTGAGAGCGGCAGTCATTGTTCACTTTCAAAAGCCGGGTAGGCGGATTTGGGGAGTAGTTCGAAATAAGCTGACACTTATTTAATTTTGAGATGGACTTCCAGAACAAGATCTATTTTTTGAACACCGTACTGAACCTAATCTTCACTTTTTAGGAGAGTGGGTACTGGGCTACCTTATATTGCTGTAGCTATTTTCAATATTTATAAATGTTCTTGTATGGAAGGTTATCATTACTTGCCTTGCCCACAGTTCGTCAGAACTTGAGATTTTCAAACATGCTGGAGGAAGCATTGAAATTTCCATTCAAAATATTTTTTTTTAAAACTCGACTAGGTTCTAATAATCTCGAACTTAAGGAAATAGGCTGAAAAAACGCTGCTTTCCAGCCTCTGCTAGTTATCATATTTTTCAGAATTGCTTAAATATTCAAAGTAAGTGAGTGCTACGTCAAGTCTTTTGCACCTTACAGTAACTTTTAAACTGTCGATCGCATTCATTACTCATTAAAGCAAAGAACTGAGTTGAACGCTAAATTTGATATATCACTATAGTGTACAGGTTGGGGATCAGAAAAAGTGTAATTTACCTTTACTGGTCTTAATTTGACCAGGTTGAATGCAAGAAAGATTATGTCAGAAAATATTATAAGGTTTAGCGCGGAGATCGCATTCTTGCTCGTGTCTACAAAACTGTCGATTCGTTAGCCTTATATCTGGCAGCTTTACGGCTAGGTGCAATTTATGTTCCCGTTAATCCAGTTTATACCCACAATGAAATGCAACATTATGTTCAGGTAAGCTGTTTTGAAAGCTGCTGCTTAGAAAGCCAGAACCTTTGAGTTGATTACACACTACTTCTACGGAATTTCTTGATCAGTCTGTGGGGGTTAAATATGACTTAGTTCCTGACTTATTTGTGAAATTTAGTGGGACCATTTATCTGTCACTAGATTTGGTCTCTCTTAATAAACGATGTTTTCTTAAAAATCTTTGTTGCTGAAGGGTTTTTTGGATTAGCCAAACAGAAGATAATCAATGTGTCTCAAAAATCGTCACCTCGTTGTTGTACAACGAGCACCTTTACATTATTGCTGTCTCTGTTTTAGGACTCACAACCAGAGTTACTTGTCACTTGTTCTTATGACGCTGATAGTTGCTTCAAAAAAGATATCAAATATGTTATTGATGCTGAAGCTGCGGTTGCAGCTGCTACAGTTCAGAAAGCTTTATATCATATCGAGCCTGTGGAAGAACATGATATTGCATGCATTTGCTACACTTCTGGTACCACAGGTTTAGTAAAACTGTGTGCAAATTTCTGAAAAAATTAATTTTGAAAGCGAGAAATTTTTTAAAGGAGTTGTCTTAGATTTTCATAACTTGTTGTTATAGAACCTTTTTGGATTTTATTAAACAGTTAAGAGCGGTTACAAGCCTTAATGATATCTTAGCAAATCTTGAGTAATTTTTTAAATTATACAGCTAAACGAAATCTTATTGCAGTATTTCAGGAGTGCCAAAAGGAGCTATGTTATCGCACGCAAATTTAATTTGGAATGCTAAAGCCCTTATTTCACTTTGGAGGTTCTCAGGGGATGACGTACTGCTACATTGTTTGCCATTTTATCACGTTCATGGAATGTTTATAAGCTTAAACTGCTCACTTATGTCCTCCTCCTGCATCGTTTTCTTGTACACTTTTCTGATTTTTAGAGAAACAAGGGAGAGGAAGCTTATACTGCCATTATCATATTATGATGAAAATTTGTATTTGGTTTAGGCTGCATGCTAATTTGTTATTGGATTTATCTGAACAAATTTTTCTGATTTTCTTATTTTTTATTCATTGTTTTAGGCCGAAATTCACTGTAGAGAGTGTCATCAAATACCTACCCAAATCTACTGTTATGATGGGAGTCCCAACTTATTACAGGTAATTTAGTTTACGTTTTTACATCAAGAAAAAGTTGCGATGTACTGCGTTCTAGTCTGCGCTTCAATATCTTTTGATAAATATGAAACCGCAGTAAGACTTCCAAACTGAAGGGAATAGTTTAAAGTCTTGCTTCCTCTGTGATACTTGTACTTAAGAATAAGAAGTTAAGATAGTTGACAAAGATTTGTATTTTTATCAAATTGTTTTTCGCAATAAACCTGATTTCTGTTTCCCAACTTCTGTTTAACTTTTAACTTTCTTTTGTTAAAGGTGTATAGGATTTTGTTGAAGTCGTAAAGGAAATCATAAGGTTTCTTCCTCAAAATTGATTTTAAGTTGCGAAAAACATCTGTAGGTTTTTATTCTTGCAATCGTGGATATTATTAGCGGCATTTGCTGAACTATTTTTTGTTGAGTGTTATTCGCTTTACTATTCTTCCACTGAAATTCCTGTTCAGTTTACAGTCGACTTCTGCAAAGCCAAAAGTTTAATGCGGAACTTACAAAAAATATGCGTTTATTTGTGAGTGGGAGTGCACCAATGAGTATTCCATTGTGGAACGAATTTCGTAATCGAACTAAACATTGCATTTTAGAACGTTATGGTATGACGGAAGGTATGAATTGTACCTTATATTAGGCAGTTATTTGACTTTTTTTTGAAAATTCAAATCTTTGTGCGTGATATGCCTTCTTCTGAAGTTTGATGTAAGTCAGTTTCATGGTCTGGAGAGAAGTGTTGGAACCTTTTTGCTAATAATGGGCTAATACTGGCTTACTAACCTTCAAACGTGCCATAACTTAACAGCATATAGTTTTAGCCGCTGTTATAACGTCGAACGGTTACGAAAAAAAAGATAGGATACCTGGAACAGTAGGAAAGATTTTACCGGGCGGTAAGGTGAATTTCAAATCTGTCCTATTTAGTTACTTTTCTTTTTTAGGTCAAAGTTATGAGATGTTAAATTCCACTATTTAGTTGCGTGTTTCTCATGAAAACATCGTTGAAGTTCAACTTCCGAGTGTCTTCAAAGGTTATTGGAGAAATCCCGAGAAAACCAAATCTGAATTTACTTCAGATGGGTTTTTTAGAACAGGCGACCTTGGACGTATTGATGCAAATGGTTAGGCACATTTTTTATTCAATTTTTTCTCAATAGAGTTGTAGTGGCACAGTTACGCTTTTAAGAATCAGAAAAGTTGGTTGGAGGCAGGAAGGATATCATTTCGTAGCTCACTTATAATTTTTGTTATAAGAATTTTCTTACAGTTTTTCTTATATTGTTGCATCAGTTGAAACATACTCCAATCCTTTTAAAATGCTTTATCTACTTATTCCAGCTCTTTTTTAAGGGAATTTGCAAATCCTTGGCCGAGGCAAAGACCTAATAATAAGTGGCGGCCTCAACGTATATCCAAAAGAAGTAGAAGATGCCATTGATGCAGATGAGCTTATTAAAGAGTCTACTGTCATAGGTAAAGTGGTATAATTAGTTGCTAAGTTTCTGAATTCACGTTATTTTTTTTTTTTTGCATTTTTTTTTTGTTGCTTTTATGTATGGATTTTTTTACACTAATCGACTCCTGCTATCATTTTTGTTCAGCAATTAGAAAAACTTCTAAAATTATGGAATTTTTCCTGGTTAATAATGCTGAATTGGTATTTAGCATAGAAAAATAGCTTTGAGTACCTCTAGATAACCTTTGAATTTTGTTTTAGTTTGGCGACAAACAACAGATACCAATCTTAACATTTTTTTTAATTGGCTTTTTAAAATTTAAATATATACAGAATGTCAGGACTAAGATTTCGTCATAAATAGTTCATAAAGTATTTTTAGGGGTTCCACATTCAGACTTTGGAGAGGTGGTGGTAGGAGTCTGTGTTCCAAAGTCGTGTACTGTTACGGAAGCGGAGAACAGAAGTACGGAACTAATAAAGAGATTACGTGGTAGAATTGCCAACTACAAGCTCCCCAAAAATATCATATTTCTTGACGAGTTACCGCGTAATTCTATGGGGAAAGTGCAAAAGAATCTTCTTCGAAAGAAATATGCTAATTTGTATCAGTAAAAATAGGTGAAAAGGAAGATGTGCTGACTGTTTGATGTGACAAACGATTTAAATTATTCTAATTATACGATGAAGTGTCATACGGTTTTAGTGGAGTATCAAACAATATTTTTTGGGGTTTTGGTTAATTCATATTTAGCATATGAATTATTCTGTGTGAAAAAGACTGTAAATTACGTTTCTAGAGATTCTGATACTTTTTATAGATATTTGGTACTGCTGTATTTAGTTATACTTAAAAAAGTTTTAAACGTTATTGTTACAGTCCTTGATATAATAGTTAAAATATTACTGTGGTAATTACTCTTGTTACACTTTTTTGTTGCCGTATTTGATCGAGTTGTAAGAGTTCGTAAAAGTGAGGCTAGAAAGGGACAAACTAATCTACAAATTGTTCATAACAAATTTAGAAGGATGATTACTTTTGTGTAACATTCCAAATTAATTTTCATTTTTGTTAATTTCGCTGTTCTTTCTTGGCTGGTTCCAGTTACAGTTGTTGTGACGTTGGCAAAACTTGCTTTTAGTGGCAGTTTTATTTTTTACATATGTAAAACTGCAGTGTTGAGGTAGTAACAGTTTACTTGCCATTTGGATGAGTTGACAGGTAATAGAAGTAGTTAAGCGAGAAAAAAAAAAACTTGCCGCTGTTAGTGTTGATGTTTGGTAATGTCTGCATGGATGCCGGCTGAAGATTTCAGACCACTTATGGATAATAGTGCGGCTAAAGTAGAAAGAAGAACACGATAGGGAAGATGAAGAAACGTGCGTTTATTTCCTTTTTTCTTCTTAATTGTTGGATAAGTTTTCTCTGTGTATGTCAGAAGGGAAGAGAAATTTTCTGTTGAGTTTTTTTATCTAACTAATTTTCTGATGGCAATTTTGTTGTTCTAAGCAGAATATTACCCGATTACTTTGAAGGAGTGTAGAAAAAAAAAAAAAAAAGAAGCGAGATGTCTGCCAAAGTATATGTGCTTTTCTAAGCTCCTTTTGGTTAACTTTTTTTTTTCATTTAATTTGCTGTTGTGTACAGTGCAGAAAACGGAAGTGAAAAAGTAAAGCGAGGGAAAGCGAAGAAAAAAAAAAAGAAGAGCTAATGTGATATGAAAGGGGGAAACCATTTTACGTGTACAAACCAATTACTTTACAACTGTTGGTTTTGGAAACTATTTTTTTTTGCTTTCTTTTTTGTTTAAAACGACCATGAGAGTTTGTTGTTAACAAGTAGACGTCTCTATAACTTCTCTCTTCATTATTAATCTTATTATTTTTATTTTTGTTATTATTGCTGTCGTTTTATTTGTTACTGGTGGCCGGCATATACGTATTTTTGTTGCGTTTTATGATTGATAAATTTTACAGTTTATGTCCGCCAGTGTCCTGAGTTTCATTTGAATTAAATAATGGAAAATGAGAAGGGACGAAGGAGGACAGTAGGGTGGAATTTCTGAAAGCCGATAAAGCGGATGATCATCGGGTGGTTGGTGAACAAAGAAAGATTTTTGGAAAACAGAAGGTAACAGTAATTGCATTTTTTTCTCCTTCCTGAATTGTGCAATCAAGTACATAAACTTTATAATAGCGTATATCAATTGGGACTAATTAATACAATATTCCTTCTTACAACTAAGTAACTTTCAATTTAAACAATTCATTAACAAGGAAACAATTTTCTCTGCTTTGCAACTTCTGAATTTTTTTCGTCTGCTTTTCTTTTTTTTTTTTTTTTTTTTTTTTTTTTT